GGGCAATGGTAGAGGTCATGAGAAAGCCATACATAATGAGAAAAGCTAAAGCTGAACTTGCTGAAGTTATTGGGCAAGGCAAGGCAATAGTAGAAGCCAGCGTTGCCCATCTCCCTTATTTGCAGTGCATAGCGAAAGAAACCTTGCGGTTGCACCCACCAGTACCCATTTTGCTTAGCAAGGTAGATCAAGATGTTGAGGCGTGTGGATATTTTGTTCCGAAAGACTCTCAAGTGTTAGTGCACGTATTGTCAATAGGCCGTGACCCAGCTAACTGGGATGATCCTTTGACATTTAAGCCAGAGAGATTTTGGGATTCAAAAATAGATGTTCGTGGTCAAGATTTTGAAATCATTCCATTTGGTGGTGGTAGAAGAATTTGTCCAGGGATACCTTTGGCAATGAGGACACTTTCCATTATGCTGGGTTCATTGTTGAATTCATTTGATTGGAAAGCTGAAGGCGATATTGCACCAGAAGATTTAGATGTAGAAGAGAAGTTTGGGGTTTCACTAGCCAGATTGCGTCCTTTGCTAGCTGTTCCTATTCCTCTTTAAACGTAGCGAATAATTTAGATTTGTCTGCTTTCTCTACAGACATTTCCGATCTCAACTATGTAATTCTCTTCCTCTTTCTATAATCAGTTTGACATAATAAAGTACTCCCTATACATCGGATTACTCTTGAGCATAAATATTGTCACTTTTATATGCAAAATCTTCAATTTCTGGATGCCTGAGAAACTGCAACGAGTTAATTAACATGACATGATTTGTTTTTTCTCCCGCAACCTAAAGAACCAAAATTCTATAGTATTTTGATATTAAAAATAATCTGTCAGGTACATAGACCACTCCTCCATAATAAACAAATGAAAACCTCCGGAGAAGAGACCCACGAACAGTATTTATAAATAGAGAAAAAAAAAACATACTTTTTGATGTGGAGATTCTGTCTTAACCTCTTTGGCTATCATTTCTACTCTACTTTTTCTCACTCTGTTCTTGGCAACAACACCGTCATCAACTTCAGAACCTAAGATTAACATCTTTGATGATTAATTCACAAGCTCATCTTGATAATTTGCAATATAAAGTCCACATTCATGAAAAAGATTTAATGAGTGATTCCTCTTTATTTTATTTTTTGCTAAACAAGAGAAACAGGTTCACGCGATTCCTCTATAAAGTGACTGCCAAATTAATCACACAAAACGGATTCAATTAGCTTAAACCGAGCTTGCAGATGTTATTGGCAAATGCATGATAATCGAAGAAGCCGACGTTGCCCGTCTCCCTTATTTGCAGTGCATAGTGAAAGAAACCTTGCGAATGCACCACCAGTTCCCCTTTTGATCCGAAAGGTAGATCAAGACGTCGAGGCGTGTGGCTATTTTATTCCAAAAGACTCTTGAGTGTTAGTGCACATATGACCAATAGGCCGTGATCCAGCTATTTGGGAGGATCCTCTGGCATTTAAGCCTGAGAGATTTTGGGGTTCGAAAATGGACGTTCGTGGCCAAGATTTTGAACTCATTCCATTTGGTGCTGGTAGAAGAATTTGTCTAGGGTTACCTTTGGCATCCAGGACCCTTTCTGTGATGTTGGGTTCATTGTTGAATTCATTTGATTGGAAAGTTGAAGGCGATATTGTACCAGAAGATTTGGATGCAGAAGATGTTGTTCATCTTGTATTTCTAAGATACTTAAAACAAAACTTTGAAGAACTTGGTAAGACACAATAAAGTTTAAGAATATTTTCACAACTAGAAAATTAAAACTAGTAGAGAAACTAAAATCAGAAACAGATTAGAAAAAATATACGAAATATTTTTTCTTAAATTGTTGTCAATCTGTGTTTAAAGAATCTTACTGATTCCAACAAACTTTGCAGAAATACGAAGTTACCAAAGTTTAATGAACCAGTGAGGAACAAAAGAACATAAATTAATTCACAAATCTAAAATTTGTAACACATACCAGAATCTGAAAAAACAGAAAGAAGATCAAGACCACTGAATGCACAGTGTCCCCTTAAGGAAATTATTACCCTTTAGTATCCGAGGTTTGATTTGGAATATGTCCTCCCAGGATAGAATGATCTCAATTACCAGTGTATTGATATCCAAAATGTTGGTGTCAGCGAGCCACTCAACGGCAATAAAATACACTTAGAATATTAGATTTAGTAGTAGAATAAGAAGTCCAGAAATTGGTTCTATTAAAATGAGAGAAAATTCCTCAATTTATAGAAAACAGAGGGTAGTGTGAAAATGTTCTTATTGTGCCTTACCGAAAAGGTCACAAACCTTTGAAAAGTCACAATCTTTCGGAAAGGTCACCACCTTTCATAAAAGTCATAACTTTTCATCAAAGTCACAACTTTTGATTAAAGTCACAACTTTTCATAATAGTTCCAACTTTTCATCAAAGTCACAACTTTTGATTAAAGTCACAACTTTTCATAATAGTTCCAACTTTTCATCAAAGTCACAACTCTTTATAAAAGTCGCAACTCTTCATTTTTCATTCACACCTTTTAAAATCCAACAGAAGAAAAGTTTGGTATTACACTGGCGAGATCACGTCCTTTGCTAGCTGTTCCTATTCCACTTCAAACGTCGGCTCCAAATTGAGCAAGTAATAATGTTATTATTGAATAAGCCAACATGACAATTGACACAGGTTACATAATTATAATCAGCGAATAATTCAGATTGTCTGCTTTCTCTACCTATCTTTGGAGATGAGATCGGGGTATAGTTCACTTGTTTCACCGTTTTCTAGGTAGGGGGCGCTAGATCCATAACAGGCCCCGGCCCATCAAGTTTTGAATTTGCAAACAAAATTAATCTTGATTAAAAAAATAAAAGAAAGGTTTTTGTTAACAAATGACTTGATTTTGGGTGCTAAAAGTCAGAAAGAAGATGAAATGAAGTGAAGAAATAATTTAAGAACGCACACGTCCTATGAATAATATTTTGAAAATCTAAATTTAATTACTACTAATACTTTACATAATTATAGTTATTTTCCTATTACATTTTTTTCAATACATTGTATTTACTATATTTAAAGGGTGATATGCTAAAACTATCATTCTATTTATAGTTTCTTAAAAAATGTGCAAAATCAATAGTGGACAAGTATTGTTGGATAAGGGAAATTCTATTGTAAAATCTGGCATATTTTTCATGATCCTAAAGCCAGCCAGAACTAAATGATCTTAGATAGTTTAAGTTTCACGATTCTCATTAATTCATCATGTTCGTGTTCGTTAGCTGTTCTTTGTTCATGCTTTTGTCTGAAGTTTGAACACATTTTTGCAATGAAAATAGAATTGGAGGGCAGTTTTCTGACTTTGACTATGAAAATGAGTAACACATTTCTGGGCAGAAAGGATGAATATTTTTAGACGTCGACAGGTCATTTTTACAATTTCTCATCAATTGCCTTCAGGGAAGCCAAGATCAAAGGACTCAAAGGATCCTTTGTTTACCTTTTTTTTTTTTTTTTTTTAACTCATGAGAGATTTGTATGAAAAGTGATAGATTCGCGCTACCTTTTAAATTTTCCTGGTTTACATATTTGTACGGAAATGACTTATTACTCTCTTCTTCGTCCCATATTAGTTCATCACTTTTCGTTATACACATAATAAGAAATCATAAATAAGAAGATAATTTTACTAATTCATTCTTTAAAAAATTCTTAGGAATTTTACAAATAAATGTGGACACTTTCAAAATGAATAGTAATTGCAAGGGTAATATAGGAATAATTTAATTAATATTTACTTAATTTAGTAAGGTAGACAACTAATATAAAACAACTATTTTTAGTAAGATAATTAGCTAATATTGGACAGAGGGAGTGTGATTAATGAAATACACTTTGGATTGAAATACCCACCAACCTAAAATAGTTGCACAGATACTTTTATCTCAAACGTGAAACACAAAGCGTCCAAATACCAACACAAGCAACTCAGTCAAACAACAACCAACTTAGAAGTTCAAGTGATGTATCACGTAAGTCTTTGAGGTTCTTTTCACAAACACGCCATTTTTTATTTTATTTTACGTACTCCTTCAATTTTATTTTACTTAGCTCATATTGACTTACAACATATTTTATTTTATTAAATTGATCTTATTTTTTTTAATTTGTTTACATTCTTAATTCATACGATTTGCATATATCATACCTTCTCGAGACTTCTCTCGTGATTACATTGAGTATTTTATAGTTATTTAATTTACATATGACAACTAAGAAATAAGGTTTCTATGAAGTTTGGCTTTAGGCCCCAAACTTGTTGAGACGGCGCTGTTAGACTGCTCTGGATTAATGCTTGTTCTTGTTCCTTTTGATGGAATGGGATATCGCGCATGTGATCCCTCTCCATGAAGAACAAATTAGGTTCCGTTAATGGTGATTGCGCAGAGCCTGATGCGAATTCTCCTCAATTGCAAGGAGTGACGAACGGGTGGATCGAATCAAGATATGGACGGGTCAAAATAAACAAAGACGGCCTTCCTATGTTTAATAACAATACTAAATGGATTAACCGGCAGATAATAGGGATATTTAGTACTCCCTTCGTTTCACAAAGAATGACCTCCTTTTCTTTTTAGTCAGTTTCAAAAAAATGACCTCTTTCCTTTTTTGGTAACATTTTACTTTTTGTTTTTCACGTGGCATGTTTAAAACCACAAGATTAAGGGCAATTTTGTACATTTGACGTAACTTTAATTTAGGACCATAAGATTCAAAAGTCTTCTTTAATTTCTTAAACTTCGTGTCAAGTCAAACCAGATCAATCTTTTTGAAACGGAGGGAGTAATAACTTTTGAAATAATCAAATGAGAACACAAAGCTAGAAGCCAAAATAAACTTCAACTCTAGTAAAACAAAAAATCATGTATATATATAACCATTACATAATGTAACAAATATAAGCTAGCACGTACATACTCTTAATTAGTTATTTAATTAACAATGGATTATGTAGTCATTGTAGGTGGATTACTACTTGCCTGGACTTTGCTTCAATGGGTAGCAATAAACAAGAGAGGTAACAAAAAACTTCCACCAGGGCCAATTCCCCTTCCATTGATTGGAAATTTGCATAATATTATTGGCGATCAACCTCACAAGTCACTTGCTAGGCTTGCCCAAATATATGGGCCAATGATGAGCCTCAGAATGGGGCAAATAACAACAGTGGTAATATCTTCATCAGCCGTGGCCAAACAAGTCTTACAAAAACAAGATTTGGCCTTCTCCAGCAGAACAATTCCAGATGCAATCCGTGCCCACAATCACCATCAGTTCTCTGTTGTGTTTCTACCAGTTGCTTCTCGCTGGAGAAGCCTAAGGAAGATTTTGAATTCTAATCTCTTCTCCAGCAACAAGCTTGACGCAACTCAGCATCTCAGGTAAAAGGGTGGGTTTAATTTGATCAAAATAATATACAATGATAATTAGATTCATATTGAACTTTTGAATTCAGCTCCTTGAATCAAGTCAACAAATATGTGAAAAAATTGATTTTGTCACTTTGATGTCAGGTCCCAAAAGATGCAAGATTTAATTGGTTATTGCCGCAAGTGTAGCCAAACTGGTGAGTCAGTGAATATAGGCCAAGCTGCTTTCGAAACCATGATTAATCTACTTTCCAATGCCATTTTTTCCAAGGATGTAGTGGACCCTTATGCAAATTCAGGTAAAGAATTTAAGGATGTGGTCTGGAACGTCTTGGAAGAATCTGGTAAGCCCAATTTCGCCGATTATTTCCCCCTCTTGAAAAGGATTGATCCTCAAGGGATAAGGCGACGCATAGGCAAGCATTTTGATAAGTTGCTTCACCAGATTATAAAGGGATTGGTTGATGAACGATTGGAGCAAAGGAGGAAATCACCAAATGGCAGTAGAACAGATTTTCTCCAAGTTATGTTAAATACTAGCGAAGAAGATCCGCAGGAAATTGACAGAAATCATATACAACACTTGTGCCTGGTAACTTTGAACCTTCTCTACCTTGGTTAAGTTCCTAATATGCACAGCCGATTAGACCTTTTTGAACAATTATTTTCGACCCATGAAACTATTAATTATGAAACTGTAATTTCAATTGTAAATTTAGTGCTAAAAAGCTAAAAGTTGAACCCTAAATCTAAAATCTTGAATTCCCCTCTTCTTATTAGACATTTGGTGCTCTGTTATACTTCATTAGCTTCCTTTTATTTTCTTCCATCAATTACATATATATTTGCTACCTTATTGCATCGACTGAGAGTTATTTATATTGCAGGACCTTTTTGTTGCGGGAACGGATACAACTTCAAGTACATTAGAATGGGCAATGGTAGAGGTTATGAGAAAACCATACATAATGAATAAAGCTAAAAGCGAGCTTGCAGATGTTATTGGCAAATGCACGATAATCGAAGAGGCCGATATTGGTCGTCTCCCTTATTTGCAGTGCATAGTGAAAGAAACCTTGCGGATGCACCCTCCAGTACCCTTTTTGATTCGCAAGGTCGATCAAGATGTCGAGGCATGTGGCTATTTTGTTCCGAAAGACTCTCAAGTGTTAGTCCACGTATGGTCAATAGGTCATGATCCAGCTACATGGGAGGATCCTCTGACATTTAAGCCAGAAAGATTTTGGGACTTGAAAATCGACGTTCGTGGCCATGATTTTGAACTCATTCCATTTGGTGCTGGTAGAAGAGTTTGCCCGGGATTAAATTTGGCGATTGCGAAATTATGTACAATGTTGGGTTCGTTGTTGAATTCATTTGATTGGAAAGCTGAAGGCGATATTGCAGCACAAGATTTGGATGTAGAAGAAAAGTTTGGTATTACACTAGCCAGATTGCGTCCTTTGCTAGCTGTTCCCATTCCACTTTAAACGTCCGCATGCAATAATGTTATTATTGTGAAAGACTGTACCCCAAAACTTAAGAACAGTTGCATGTACCTCAGTCCTGAGTTAGTTTATCTCACTAATATATTTTTTTTCCTCCTCTTTTAAATAAGTGTAGGTACTGTCTTTTGCATTTGTATACTCAGTAGTTTATATTATTACGATATTTAGAAGTCTAAAGATCTTGTCATTATATATGTAGTTAGTGAATTTAGATTGAAGAAGCGTTTGCTTTCTCCCAATCTTCCCAGGCTCTTTTGTTGAGGTAACTCATCTTCCACGTTAATTATATATGTAGACAGTTTGAATCTGTATCATGTACAAGTTTCTTATTTTCTCGTGCTATGTTATTCATTAAATAAAGTACTAGTTATCTTTAAAAGGAAGGTTGTTGAAGTGAGAATTATATATTCATATTCCCAATGAGGCGTGAATTGTCTTATTTTTGCATTAAATGGACTCACGTGAAGGTCCTGTTTTCTCTTTTTTCTTTTTTTCCTTGCGTATAGAGAACGTCGAGCTACCGGTCAATTACTATACATACACTTAACCTCTTTGTTGTGGCAAAATATAATTAATGGTAGAGGAGAGAAAATTAGGCATAATGATAAAAGCTAAAATCGAGCTTGCCAGATATTATTGACAATAAAAGAAGTTGCCCACTTATCTCTAAAGTAGGATTTTTCTGACCGAATCAAAATTAGCCCCGCCCAAACAGATATGTCATCTGCTAAATCAAAATGTCAATTTCTCAAAACTTTCACTTATTTACTGTGTGAATTTAATTATTCACTTTTACTTTTTTCATATTTTAATTTATTTTGTTTTCAGAAAAATCCTAAATTTTTCTTTTTCATATATTTTACTTCATTTAAATTATATTCCATGATAAAATAATATTTTGTATGTTGAAAAATTATAAGTACATTTTAATTCTAAATGATATTCAAACCAAGGAATGGGATATTTTGTGCATTAAATTTAAGGGAGGCTTATAATAATGAGAGCAGAAAGGCAATAGCTAGTTCAGCGAAGAAGACAATGGATTATGTAGGTGGATTGCTACTTGCCGGCACTTTGGTCCTTTGCATTGGTTGGTTTGCAATAAGCAACAAATGTAACAAGAACCTTCCACCAGGACCATATCCCCTGCCCTTGATTGGAAATCTTCACAACATACTTGGTGGTCAACCTCACCAATCCCTTGACAAACTTGCCCAAAAGTATGGTCCAATAATCAGCCTCAGATTGGGCCAAAAAACGACAGTGGTTATATCTTCATCCACGGTTGCTAAGGAAGTTTTACAAAGCAAGATTTGGCCTTTTCTAGCAGAACAATTCCGGATGCAATCTATGCCCTAAATCACTACCAATTCTCTGTGGTATGGCTACCAGTCGCTAATCGATGGAGAAGCCTTAGGAAAATCTTGAATTCCTATATCTTCTCCGGAAGCAGGCTTGACGCCAATCAACATCTCAGGTTCGTTGACTCAAATTTTGGAACTATTGCTTCGGTCAAATTCATATAATGTTCAATCTCCAAATCTGATTTTATATGTTTGAGTTTGACCCATACAGTTATTTTATTGTGTGATGAGTTACACACTGAATGAGTTACTAAAAATAAATTGATTTTGTCGTCTCTGTTCTTAGGTCCGGAAAGATCCAAGATTTAATTGCTTATTGCCGTGGGTTTAGCGAAACTGGTGAGGCGGTGAATATAGGACAAGCTGCTTTCGAGACCTCTATTAATTTACTTTCGAACACCATATTTTCCAAGGATGTTGTGGACCCTTATGCAAATTCAGGTAAAGAATTCAAGGATGTGGTGTCCAACATCATGGAAGATGCTGGTAAGCCCAATTTGGCTGATTATTTCCCCGTGTTTAAAACAATTGATCCTCAAGGAATAAGGGGAAGAGTAGGCAAGCATTTTGGTAAGTTGCTTCAGCAGATTGAGGGATTGATCGATGAACGATTGGAGGCAAGGAGGAAATCAGCAACTACTGGTAGCACTGACGTTCTGTTAAATACCAGCGAAGAAGATGCTCAAGCAATCGACAGAAATCACATAGAACGGTTATGCCTGGTACGTACTTGCAACAATGCTATGTATCCCGCTATGTGGAATGTATCAAACCTAATGTATCCCGTGCACAACGCTATGTATCCCGCAAACATCATTTTTAAGAAATTTTTGGTAAATAGAAAACTAGAAGGGATATGATATTATTTAGTACTTATAATATGTGGTTCCTATAATTTATACTTTAATTTATCCTTCCTCTTTGGCATAATGATATAAGCATCACATTATATTGTAGGTAGATATTTCCAATTTATCCATTTTTTGCATCCTCTTAGATGTAGTTATATTGCAGGACCTATTCACTGCAGGAACCGATACAACTTCAAATACATTAGAATGGGCAATGGTAGAGGTCATGAGAAAACCATACATAATGAAAAAAGCTAAAGCTGAACTTGCTGAAGTTATTGGCCAAGGCAAGGCAATAGAAGAAGCGGATGTTGCCCGTCTCCCATATTTGCAGTGCATAGTGAAAGAAACTTTGCGGATACACCCACCAGTTCCCTTTTTGATCCGAAAGGTAGATCAAGACGTTGAGGCATGTGGCTATTTTGTTCCGAAAGATTCTCAAGTGTTGGTGCATGTATGGTCAATAGGCCGTGATCCAGCTATATGGGAGGATCCTCTGACATTTAACCCAGAGAGATTTTGGAGTTCGAAAATGGATGTTCGTGGCCAAGATTTTGAACTCATTCCATTTGGTGCCGGTAGAAGAATTTGCCCGGGGTTACCTTTGGCAACCCGGACACTTTCTGTGATGTTGGGTTCATTGTTGAACTCATTTGATTGGAAAGCTGAAGGTGATATTGCACCAGAAGATTTGGATGTAGAAGAAAAGTTTGGCATTACACTAGCGAGGTCGCATCCATTACGAGCTGTCCCTATTCCGCTATAAATGTTCGTCGACTACAAATTACCAATGCAATACTTCTCGAGCTTACCCTGGTATTTCGAATCTCAACTATGTAATTCGTCCTCTTTTTTCTTCTCTCTAGCTATAATCATTAACATAATTGCAAATAAAGCTTGACAATCTAGTGTTTTACCAATTTGACACAATAAGGTCATATATATAGCCAATCCAATTACGCTGGTTTGATGAACTTACTTCATATCTACTTATTTTACTCAATCCCATTCAGGGATAGCTAGTCTGATGATTTCACATTGTAATGAAGAACATAAATTAGAGAAATTTTTTTGGATAAGAAACAGAGTAATAAGCCTGATATATAAGGTATTCGTCATTCCACCATTTTGCTCTAGGAGCATTTTTGTTGGAGTCTCACATCGGTTGAAGAAGGGATGTTATACTTAAATGGTCTTAACCAATTCTATCGTCCTGAGTTAGTTTTTCGGTTGAGTTAAACTCAAAGTCTATTTTGTATGGAGTAAATTGTGCTCTCTATTAAAAGTGACTGACAATGGGTGGTTGCGACACAAATGGATGTTGTTTTATCTTTCTTTTTTTTGTCCGTTTCAAAATAATATCTCTTTTTTTTTTGTCAATTCTTTATATTCTATTTTTCTACTATGTTAAGACCACAAGATTAAATAACATTTTGATATATTTATATATTTTTATTTTATAACCATAAGATTTAAGAGTTTTTTTTTTATACTTTCTTAAATTCTAATCAAAATCTAAAACGGTGGGAGTAATATTCAAATTTATGGATGCCCAAATTAATTGATTTTCAATAAAAGAAGAAGCTAAGCTCAACGGTGGGAGTAATATTCAAATTTATGGATGCCCAGATTAATTAATTTTCAATAAAAGAAGCTAAGTTCGTAAGCTGTATAGGCCGGTCAAAAAATAATAGTACTCTCTTTGGTTCATAACTTCATATAAAGTGAATTATCAGGATATGACAGTTTCTTTTTAAAAAAATAATATTTAAGGAGATAAATTAAAGCTATTTTCTATTAAACTATTCTTTTAAATATGAAAAGTCCCAATAAATAATAATTTTCTTAAACTTTAAACAATTTATTTATTTTAAATTATAAAAAAAATAGTCAATATATAAGTATGAGAAAGGATTATATTTCTAATATATAGAAGAGTGTAGTGGGAAAAATGTAATTTCATTCTAACAAAAATCTATTAAGAAAGATAATAAATAATTCAAGAAACATCTTTCTATATATGAAGTGAATAATGATCAAGGGTAAAAATGTAATTTCATGCTAACAAAAATCTACCTAGAATGATAACAAGAAAATTAAATAGTTGTAGAAACATCATAAGTTATTGTTATTACCATTAACTTATTTTGTTATTACTTCACTTTCTTTTCTTTTGTGAGATATTGTGATATCTATTCATTACTCTATTTACTATTACTTTAATTTAATTCTTAATAATTTTTCTATTCATTATGCTTATCAAAAATGCCTACTTTTAATATAAAAAATTATTATGAATTAATTAATTTCACCTTTATTTTGGCTCTAATTAATATACTTGAAAATAAATAAGTGTGATAAAATTAATAATATATAGTATATTAGATTGAAATTAAAGAAAAAGATGTTAAAAAGTAACTTTACAAATAAAAATGAATAGGATGATATCTTTGCATTTAAGACGACCAAGAATAAAATGTAAAGAGATAGCAAGAAAAATAAATAATTCTAAAAACATCTTTCTATATATGAAGTGAATGATGATCAAAGGTAAAAATGTAACTTCATGCAAACAAAAATTTACCAAGAATGATAACAAAAAAAACTAAATAGTTCTAGAAACATCTTTAGTCATTACTATTAGTATTAACTCATTTTGTTATTTCTTCTTTTTTTATGAGTTATTATGATATCTATTCATTACTCTATTTTACTATTACTTTACTTTAATTCTTAATATATTTTTTATTCATTATATTTACTAAAAATGCCTACTTTAATATAAAAATTCATTATTTAAAAATATAATTAATTATTTTCACTTTTATTTTGGCTCTAATTAATATACCTGAAAAAAAATAAGTGTGATAAATTAATAATATATATTAGATTGAATATTAAAGAATAAATAAAATTAGTTTCAATATTTTAAAAGATGTTAAAAAGTAACTTTACAAATAAAATGAATAGGATGGTATATTTGCATTTAAAGTAAACTAAAAATGTTTATTAGATTATAAAAGAGTAGTCCTTCATTAAATTATATAATCAAATTTTTACTTTATTTGATTTTAAACATATTATTCTGAATAGTGAACTGATGTAAGTTTGATTTAAGTTTAAAGTTGTCCGGCCAAAATTTGATATTTTTTTTATTATATAGAAATATAGAAATATGAAGTTGAGGACGATCGATGATAATATGGTCATTTCATATATATTTCATTTTAAAATTCTATAAATTCTATTTTAAAATTTGTCAAAATATTTTTTTCAAGTGACTATATTTCCTCCATAAGTTACATGATTATTCTAGAAACTATAAATTATAAGATTTTTGTAGAACTAACTATGACACAAATAAATAGACATTAACTCATTCTTCATTTCATTCACTCCTCAATTTCTCTCCTCTCATGTCTTGTACCAATAAATTTTTCGTCCCTTATTTCTAATTTGCATCATAAATATTACACACTTCGATATAGATCTCTTATTAGGAAGACCAATAATGTATTTTTTTTTAACATTAAGAACTTTATTTTTTATCTATTCCCTACATAATGGTTCTACTTTTGTAAAACAATTATAAGACAAAAGTAAAATTCGTTATTTCGAACACATCACTTCTGGGACTTGTCCATATAACAAATTTTCAGCAAAATTCAACTGATCCATATTTTTCAAACACTCTAATGAACATTCTAATGGTCCAGTTAACATGTTAAATTCAATATCAATCACAATTGCAATTCTCAAAAGGCCTAATTCATAAGGAATGCAACCAGTGAGCATGCTCTTCAAGAACAAAATTTTCAATAATTTCAGAGCATGTTATGTCCTTTCCTTTGGTTCTCTTTAGACTTTTCAATTTCATGGTGTTGTTTTTCTTTTTGGATTGTAATAATAATTTTTAAAGTATCTAATTTACTTGATTTCTCTTTTTATGTATAATCCCAAAGCTTCACGTAACATATATGTCATTATATAATTTATTGAGAAACATATATTTATTTATTACTATTATTTTAACATCAGTTAAAATCATTTTAAGCAAGTTATATAAATTATTTTTTTAAACTATGTCATGATAATTACTGCAATATATATTATATTAACTTTTCTTAATATTTTTAAATTCTCATTATTTGAGGTAAAACATTCATTCATCAGGTATATAAATTAATTTAGAAAAAAAAAATCTTACTATACTAAATTGTTCTCCTAATTTTAATGAATATAAAGACAAGATATAAAGTCATAACTTTTTTCATCTTTTTATCACTTTGTAAAGAATGTGATGATTCATTCTAATTTTATCAAGTAGGTCATTATTTTTGTTTATTAAACACCTAATAAAAAAAAATTAAGTGTATTCAAAATTAATCTATAGATGGATCAATAGACTTTATTGCTTCATATAGTTTATGAAAATTGTTAATATATTAAGATTCGTAATTTTAATCTATTCTCTTGAATAATTTTCAAATAAAATAGAAAAAAATATCATTAAATTAATTATTCAATTTGAATATACATGTTTGACATGATGTTAAAATAATCACTGGAACATGTGATATTTTATTATTATTATTATTATTATTATTTCTTATCATGTTTATTTGAAAATGTCATAAGAATTTTTCTTTTTGAAAACTAATTAAATTTCTATTATAAATATATATAATATTGTAACATCGAGCCGAGCCCGTAAACGGGCCTTGGGCCGCCTTAAATTATGTAGCAGTAATAAACATGTATTTTGTGTAGGTAGTGGTAGGCAATGGCAGTGTGTTACATAAAGTGATAAAAGCTGCATATGAAATGGAATCTCCCTTTGTTATTCAAATGGATGTTGGATCGATCATTCAAAGGGAATTAGAATCTTCACAGATACTCATCAATATGTCTCGACACATGCACTCCACAATCACTAACTTTTTAGTCAATCAAGAAGATATATACTCCATTCTTCCCACCACTAACTCATTCATTCATTCTCCCCCAAATTCATATCAATGCACATAAAAATAAGTTAGAAAAGATATACATTGAGTATAGGAATAGCTAGTATTGAGAATTGTTCAAACTTCCAATGGGAAAATTTAATAATTTTATCTTAATTTCGTAAGTGATCAACTAATTACGTATTGTTTTAAAATTCATAAACTTAAAATTATACTTGAGTTTTAATGGTAGAAAATTGAAAGTTACAAAATGTAGGCCAATTCATCTGCAAAGGGAAAAATAAAAGCAAAGCTAGGTCTTGGAATTTAGTACATTGATCCTGATAGATGAAACACACACACAAACATAAAAGAGAAAAGAGAAAAACAGATTAAAAATAAATAAAATCTAACCCACACCCATGTCCAAGTATCCCCAGATTGTATACCACAACATCCCACCCTTCACCCTAATTATGTAATAAATTAGATCCTTAATTAAAGATATGCACCATTTGCTGCTGGCAGATCCAACCATGTTGAAAGGGTCGGGTTCCAGAAACCCAACTCTCCTCCAGCCACTGGAGCCGAATCCAAAATCATTGACGATGATGATGGTCCATGAATGGAATCCGGATAACATCGATTTGTTGACGCTTTTAGCCTTTGATATAACTCTTGAAATCCTCGACTATTTTGCACTTCACCAACATTTTCCTGATAATTATTTTTCCATAAACCGTTGTTGGGAGGAAATTGATTATACGAATTCACTCCAATTGATTTGTGCTCATCCTTAACAACAAAATTAAGGCTATGATGATTTCCTTCAAGTAACGAAAGAATGGGATTATGATTCTGATGAGGTGAGGAAAAGAGAAAAGGGTTATTATTGGAAGATATTATTTCCTGCTCGAACCCTCCAAAAATGCCTGATTTTCCAATCAACTCAAACGGAAGTGAATTTTTCAATTTTGCAGCAGTTGATTTTGCTGTAGTGATGGTCTTGTTTTTTCTGCAACCACCACCTATAGGAACGTTGCGTAACGCGCCTCCTTTAGTCCAATAACGTCGACAAGTCTTGCAGAAATGACGAGGCTGAGTTAAATTGTAGTTGTTGTAGTAACAAAACTTAGTGTTTGGGGAATCACAACGCGGACATCTAAGATTTTCCGAGTTTGCATTTGCATTTGCACTTGCAGGGGGAATATTGGAATTAGAAGTAGTACAAGAAATAGGAGAGGAGGAAGGAGTAATATTAGATAGCTTTGAAATATTATTATCTCCTCCTCCGATAAGTGTTGTAGTGTTTCCTGCAAAGACCTCTTGAATCATTTTTTTTTTAAAAGAGAAAAAAACAAATAATTAAGATTGATGTTTTTTACTCGTTTCGAAGTAGGAAAGCTAAGAATATTTTGGTGATGGATGAAAATGTGAAAGAGAGAAATAAGTAGTATCTTTTTTATGGTGTGAAAGGATGGAGAATGGATCGATATATATATAGGAACTCTATAAAGAGAAAAGCCATATTTGAAAACAACTTGTGTTTTTTTAGATTTTGGAATGTAGCGTTAGTGCGTTTTGAAGAGAAACGAAAATAGACCTTTCTTGAATGATTGATCGTTGGAAAAAAATGCTAGCAACAGAAAATTATTATTCTTTTGTTTTCTTTGGTTGTTAACGATAGAAAAATACTGCAATGTGACAATTCATATAAGAATACTAAAAAGATTTTCTTCATAGAAAAATGAATTACTATAATGTTTTTCCCCAACGACTTAAATAAGAAAATTGTCATATGGAATAAAAATTGAGGGATAATGTGGTTAGGATGTTGCCAAATCTGACATACAAGGTATAATTCGAGAGAAGTGTAGCCTTATAATCTTTTGTGGATTTAATGATCAAATAATATGAAGATTATTTATGACTCCAGTAATTAAAAAATAAATTATGATCGTAGTGTTTGGGCCACTTTTGCGCACCTAAATTAATTCCATAAGATATTTGTCACCTTCCACCATCAAACATGTATTAGTTAAATCTGTCTTAAAATGATAAGACAGATTAGAAGAATCACCTAGTGTTTTTTGTCTCTATTGAATTTTGAACCTGAAATCTCAAAATTATCAACCATTCTATTGACCACTACTCAATTCAATTTTATTTCTAGTAGGAAGGCAAAGTTTTATACAAAGAAGATTAACTATTGCACGGATTATGTTTGGTTATTGCATACTGTTGAGAGCAATTAAGAAGATTTTGAAGTTGTTCAAGTATAGCTAATCCATCTTCATTATGGACAAGTAATTATTGTGAAATGAAAGTGGAATTTAGGAAGAAGCCAAAAATTTAGGATGATGATGGCAATCAAGTTTTCTAAAAGAACACAACCCTACTTAGGGCTTTGTGTCTATGCAATTATTCAGAGACAATAATCATCATTACAAGTTCAAAACAACTTATTGCCTTGAAATACGTGTAAAGTAGATGCCCAGCCAACCAGCAAATAAAACTCCTCAGTGCATGTCCCCTCAAAGATTTGGGCATTAATTTTTCCCTAATCCTCCATATAATCTTTGTTTTTCTTACTTTTAATTTTCTGGAAATGATTAGTAATCAATTGATCTTAAATACTCCATTGTCATAACCAATGTTTACACGTGTTACTCATTGGTGGCATTATGATATCAAATCCTCTATGGAATTACGACCTCAATTCCACCATAGGCGTATCGATGTATATGTATTTGTACTATACACTTTTCACATTTAATTATAATTAATAAACTAATATGATTTGATGTGAAGTCTGAATGTTCAAATGTTTCTTACTTTCTTTTATATAATAATGCGTCCAAGTAAAATGATGATTAGTAGTCGCGGTCAAAAGTTATAGATATATATGTTTATTTCTTTTATATTGCGTTACACTGGAATTTGTTAATTATTTTATTGGAATTAAGTCATGCAACTTGCTAGAAATTCATGCTAAGACGGAACCTTTGATCATTAAATATTGAGTTCACACCTGATGTGAAAACCATTTTGAAGATTCGAAATACCTTAATTCCAATGTCTCTCGACCATCTTCCAAAGTTTGTTTTTTTTACTTAAAAGTGTCTCGGGAGGTCTCACGGGTGGATCTACCCTTGTTATCTGAACTAAAACGTTAATACAATTTATATTTTAAAAAATATATATATTGTATGTTGATTTTCGTTGTTCAAGAAAATTTTTGACTCTACCATTCTCTCATCTTGACATTTAGACAACAATATAGTGTACATCGAATTTTATGAGCCTTCCAGAAATTCAATACTCAATCTAGTCTTTTTAACTTAAATGTTATTTAAGATATTGGCATATTTCAAAAGTATTCACAACTAACAAAATTAAGTATTCGTTCCGTCAAATTTAAGCCCTGATTCTGACGTTATACTATCCATTGCTTTCCTGTAATAATAATGATAATAAGAACGTGTTTGGCCAATTTTAAAGACAAGTAAAATTAGATAATGATTGAGAGACAGGTTGAAAGTTTTGGTTGCTAAATTTAACGTTTCGGAAAGAAGGCTTTCATGCTTTTTAGAAACGTCACAAATGCAAAAATATGCGGCATTGGTTTTGGTAAAAAGACAAGTGTAGAAACAGTTTGTTTCAGCTTGCCTTTACTACACTAGGACTCGTCACTCTTTAATATTTATTGGGTTTGGGAATTTGAAGGAATCGGACCATAAATAGAGAAAGACCCAACTAACACTGGTCGTATTTTCTTTTATCAGAAGTCTCAAGTTTAAGTCCTTATTAGGTGAGAATTAATTATCAATGCAAATATCAGACATCAGGTCATGTAAATCACAAAAAAGAAAAAAAAAACGAGACCACCCTGCATGAGTATTTATTACCTCTAGCTATTTCTATTTGTTTGTCTTACTTCCAACCTTTTTAGTCTGTTTAATCAACATCTCATATGTCGTGTTTACACTAGCATATCTTTAGTCTTTTTTTTTTGGTTTCCCACCCGGGGTCTGGAAGCCCAAATTAAAGCTCCGACTAAATTTGGATCGCACTTTGCAGGGGTGATGCGCTCCCAACAAAATTTTCTCCATACACACGACTCGAACCCGAGACCTCTGATTAAGGAAGGGTGAAGCACTCCCACCAATGGTAAAATATCTCTTAAAGTTAAATTAAGAGTAACAAATTAAAAGGGGAAGTAGTAGAATTAATTTTCAATGGGTAGTTGGACTAAAAAGGATGAAGAAGAAGAGAGAATATTAGTAATGGAAGAAGGTGAATGACAGAAAGCAGTAAGGGACGATGTGTACTTGACGTAGTCTTGACCTGACCGCGCGTGCCGTCCGGAATGGCAGTATGTTGATTCGTCCTCTTCTTACCAACATCCATTATTGCTCTATCTAATCTATTGAGGACACCCAGTCACTATTATATACTTATTCGAAAACGACGTTTTATGAATCAAGATGCTACATTACACTTTCACTTTATTTTTAAGTTTCATTCCGTTTTGGTTTAATTTACGATTCAGCATTCGATTTGCGCTCGACTTGATTAATCAAGATTCATATCAGGGCAGACTTAGGCTTGAGTAGTTTTTGTTGAGAGTGAATGATCTAAACCATCCAAAATCCCTTTTGTTTTTATCTTTCCCATAAACCTTTTAAAGTAGAGAAAATTACCTTTTGGAAAAAATCGAAGAAGTTTTTAAGCTTTACATCATACATATTGCTTTATTATTAATTAGATAGGAGAATTAAGCCACTCAAGCTGCGTGGTAATAGAGGAAAATATATCGTTCAAAGTTTATGGAATCGTGCTTTTATGAATATTTGGGTCCCCACAATTATCCGACACTTCACTTTTCCCTGGGCCTCCTTCCCCACTATCCCCATTCTTTCAAATCCATCAACGTGTACGACCCTCTCCCTCCTTAAACTATTCAATCGCCCAATAATTCACTCATTTTTCCCTCAAGGACCATAATTGTCACTCATTCCGTTTTATGAATATCTATTTGTCTCTCTAACTGCACAAAAACTTTTTGACCACATATACTAGCTCTAACATGACAAGCTTCTTATTACGCGATTTTAGAGTAAAAACCAACCAAAACTTGTCACATAAGGATTCAACTTTCAAGAGTTGAATTGTATGGTAATTCACCTTTAAATAATTCTATCACACCCACTTGAACTAATTTGGTGGATTTTTAATGCATATAAATTATAGTTATTTGTGTAATGGACCCATAGGTTATGTGGCCGCGGATTTTTTATTTTTTATTTTAAAAATGCGGTTGTTCATTCAAGTGTCAAATTATGAATGTATAAGAAAACACATGGTAGCAACATTTATTTTTTTATGATTATAAAGAAGTTTTATGTTGTAATCTACTTCACCTTTAAGGAAATTAAAGTGATCATGAGGATTATAATTGAACTCAATTTATCATAAATTATCAGGTGGGCCCATTAATTAGACCCTTCATGCTACAGATATATATAGCAGAATAATGTTGTGTATATTGGGGGGCCAGGCCAATTCCACTTAACCTATGATTGGAATCCCGATGCAAGGACAAGATCGTATCAGGAGGAATACAATGGAGAATGTTGAAAAAAATGACAAGGATTTCTTGCCGACATAGCCCTAGGAAGCTACAATATTGCCTAGACTACATTTGGATTTAGTAGTAGTAACTATTTGTGTTTGAAGCATCTTCATCCTATATACTAACCCAATTGGCTTACACTTTTTAGAAAGGTTATACAGCAAGTAATTCTAATTTATATACCTACCAACTCGATTTCACGTTTACCTTATCACATACAAAACTTATGATCATAGGAAAATAAGTTCCTTTTTTACTTCAACTTGTTTAATACTCCTTCGTTCTAATTTATATGATGTAATTTAACTTGACACATAATTTAAGAAAAAAAAATGATATTTGAAATTTATTGTTTAAAATAAGTTATATTTATTTGTGTGACTATTATTTAAAACGAATAATTTAAAGTTAAATTATTATGAAATATATAAAAATCTATTTTTTTTTTGAGACTTAACTAAAAAAAATGCATGTCATATAAATTCGGATAAAGGGAGTAATCCTACTGAATAATAGAAAGAGTGTATATTAGTTTAATTTGGTAATGAAAAATATTACTATATAATATCAAACAAACAAAAAATGTTTATGAGTTGAACAAGTTGATCCGTTCATTTTTATTTTTATGGAATCTAACTTCAAACGAAATAATAAATCAACACATTTATTAATTCGACATATTTTAACCCCAATCCAAAAT